CGTTGCGATACTTTTATTCGCGCGTTTGTCACCCGCAACAAATTCACCATTAAACACTGTGTTAATTTTTACATTGTCATGTCGTTGCATGACGTTCCGCACACGATCGAGTACAATTTCTCTCGCATTTTTGAGAAATTGACGAGGGTCGATGTGTTTGGAATTTATCACCGCACCAGTCAATATACGGCTTTCAAAAGCCGGATCTATCTCGCGCCATCTGAGTCCCGTCTCACTCGCACTGTATCCCGCACCCACATGTACGAAACGTTGACGTACCAAGTCCTTCAAACCTTCGAGTCTTGCGATACAAGCGACCAATGACTGTTTGAGACCGATCGATGATTGATCGATTGATAATCGTGGCCGTTTAATTCGGCTTTGTTCTTCCAACGATTCGATAAACTCGTCGCATCGTTGCTCCCACGCGGCAAAGTCTTCCCTCGAATTTAACAGGGTGGATTGCTCCAACAACTCTTGCTCCATGTTATTGCACGATCCTCTTGCTAACGCCATTTGTTGCACTCACGACTTCCAGTTCTCGACTATTGAGCGTATCCCCTAGATTCGTCATTTTAGTTATATTCTACTAATGATGCATCGTTTGCTTATCATATCTAATTTCATCTCAGCAGCCGTACATCGGCGCTATTTGCAAAATTTGCAGTTTTGCACGTGTTCGATGAAATCATTGCGAGACACGTACGTTCACGAAAACGCGCCATTGACTTTTGGTGATTTGATCTGTATCAATGCAGCGGCCGTACATCGGCGCTATTTGCAGTTTTGCATGTGTTCGATGAAATCATCGCGAGACATGTCGCGACATGTTCTTGAAAACAATAACGCTCCATTGATTTATGCGAAATTGCAAAATTTGCAGTTTTGCACGTGTTCGATGAAATCATCGCGAGACACGTATGCTCTTGAAAAAAAAATCATATTTGATGCCCGATGAGGTGATCTCATCACGATTATTCTTGACGAAGATATCACATTTAACGTATATGTGGATTGTGGTGGTGGTCACCATGCAGCAGCCGTACATTGGCGCTATTTTTGCAAGATTTGCAGTTTTGGGTATGTATAAATGGTCTATGAGGATTCTAGAGCATAGTCAAGAGTTCGATACGGTTCGAGTACGTCGCAAACAGCCTCCAGATACGATGAACACTCATGGTGCGAACTACTACGTTCCGATTCAGGACAAAACGTGCGAGAAACAGCACAATGAGTAAGTACCGCTAATTTTCATATATATACTTGTGCAAAAAAAGACTTTTATAAACATATAATTGTATTTTTTTAGTTTTGATAAACCCCGCTACACGCCACGTATTTTGGGAAGAAGATTTGCCTTGACATCAACAGCGTATAAATTTTTGGATGTTGGAATTAACGCGGGACCTATGTCCTCTGCGGATATACTTATTGGCGATAACCGAGGCAATCGGATAATTCTGCTACATGCAACGTGGATGACATTCATCGAAAAACGTGCAGATATACAGTGCATCGTGCAGTCATCGGCACCATCATCGCTAACGTTTCGAGATCTGGAGCTTAATTGTTAAAATACGTGACGCAGATATTGTAAAATTGACGTCGTGCGGCACCAGCAGCTTGTACATGAAACCGTCAACTGTACTCTTCCTGTTCGAACTAGAACATTGCGTCGAGAATGTGTATTTTCAACTATGTCAAAATGTTCATGGCGTAAGTGAAAAATTCAAACAATTTGTAACAATTTTACGTCAAAATTGTATCACTGATAAATGTAACGCAGTTACAATCTTGCGTGACGTTTATGATAAAAATTCGATTATTGATTGCAAATTATTAGCCTACGCTTTGGATACTATTGTGTATAATGCGCTACATGATAAATAAATGCATATAATATGGTTAAAAAGTTTTTCCTTTTTATTTACCGTTCATCCCATTTCCTGTCATAAAGCTGTCTTCGTTTATCGTTTACTTAAATGTAATATTAAAAAATTAAATTTCGCGAAAATCTAAACGATTAAATATCGCTGGCGAAGAAAAGATACGTGATCGCGAGCGAGAACGCGCGAGGGAAAGAGACCGCGCGAACGAGAAGACTCGCGCAAACGGGGGGACGGGGGCGCGAGACACCGCGCGAACGAGAAGACGAATGGGGGACGGGGGAGAAACATCTACGAGGGGGAGATAACGCGAGCGTGCCGTGTGACGTCACGCGGACTCCGCGGCGCGGCGAAACGCGAACGCGGGTCCCCTCGCCCCGCGGCGCCCGAAAACGCGAACGCTCCGCGGTGCGGCGAAAACGCGGATCCCCCCCCTCGCCCCGCGGCGTGGCGGAAACGCGGTCGCCCCGCGGCGCCGGAAAACGCGGATCCCCTTACCCCGCGGCGCCGGAAAACGCGGTTTTTCCCTCCCCCTCCCCCCCTCCCCGCGGCGTCCAAAACACGCGGTTCCCCACTCCCCTTCCCCGCGGCGCCCGAAACACGCGGTTCCCTCCTCCCCCTCCCACGCGGCGCCCGAAATATGCGGTTCCCCCTTACCCCTCCCCGCGGCGCCCGAAACATGCGGTTCCCCCCTCCCCCTCCCCCTCGGCGCCCACGGTCCTCTCTCCGCGGTCCCCCCTGCTCCTCACCCCCCCTCATTGCTCCCTAGTTAGAACTCCCGTACCTTACCTACTCATAATCTTTATAAAATAATAGTAGTATTCGTACCAATAATATTTAAAACTTTAGGTATATTTGCGTTTATTCCATCTACCGCAATACTAAACACATCTCTGTTTATATCTAATTCGTCTTTGCCGTGCCTATCAGTGGATACTGACAAAATATACAGTTTAAATGCAAATGAAAGTTACATTTAATAAAAGCAAACAATAGATATTAGTATGTATAATCTAATGAAATAATAGTAGTATTCGTACCAATATTATTTGAAACTTCAGGTATATTTCCGTCTATTCCATCTTCCGCAATATTTGACACATTTTTGTTTATATTTAATTCGTTTTTGTCGTGTCTATTAGTGGATACTGACAAAATATACAGTTTAAATTCAAATGAAAGTTACATTTAATAAGAGCAAACAATAGATCTTAGTAAACATAATCTTTATAAAATAATAGTAGTATTCGTACCAATAGTATTTGAAACTTTAGGTATATTTCCGTTTATTCCATCTACCGCAATACTTAACACATCTCTGTTTATATCTAATTCGTCTTTGCCGTGCCTATCAGTGGATACTGACAAAATATACAGTTTAAATACAAATGAAAGTTACATTTAATAAAAGCAAGCAATAAATCTTAGTAAGTATAATCTAATGAAATAATAGTAGTATTCGTACCAATATTATTTGAAACTTCAGGTATATTTTCGTTTATTCCATCTTCCACAACTTTTGATACATCCTTGTTTATATCTAATTCGTCTCTATCATGCCTGTCTGTAGATAAAACATATTTGTTAATTGCAATACAAGAACGAAGTTTAATAAATTATTAGAAACATTAGGTTTAGTTAATGGTAAATTGAATTTGGACAAGTCAAAAAACTCAATTAAATTATAAAACATTTTGATATTGTTTGTTAAGTAAAGTGTAAATATAAATGGCATGTGTCAGACAAATTATTATATATGATTATACATTATTACATTTTGTAATTATATATTTATATAAATATAAATATATAATTTACTATATTACTAATAATTTTCAAGACACACCCGAGTGTATACAAGCTAATACAAGTAAAGTAATATACAAGCGAATATAAGTTAAAATTATATTCAACTTAAAAATACTGTAAGAAATAATTAAACTTCCCAAGATATCTTTTCTTTGAAAAACTGTAAAATATAATCAAAGTTATTGTATTACACAGTTCATCAAAGAAAGAACATCTCAGGAAGACTAGTTATGTCTCATAGTTTCTCATTTTTGCTGAATAAAATTCTGGCTTTTGATTTCTAATTACCTTGCGCTATAATATGCTTTTTCTTTATTATTTTTTTTTTTAACGGTCTTCAAGTCTGTATTTTTGGTGCATAAATTTTTCTTATCTTCTAATAACGCATTTTGTAATTTTCTTTTGTAAATATTCCTGTTATAGGCTGTAAGTATAAGAAAAATAGTAATATAAAATTTCTTAATAATATTATACCATTAGTAATAATGTACGCCTATTAAATTAGTAAAAATACGGTTTTACTTACTCAATTGTTTTCTATTTTCTATATTGCTCTCATTTTCAAGTTTTAGTTTCAGGGTAACCAGTTCTTTATAGTCTTCTAAGCAAAAAAAGTGATATTTAAAGTAACTCAGATGTAAACAAATATTTAATCCTTCGATCAGCCTGGCAATTGCCGAAACAACATATTCTTTTAAATATAAAACTAACAAAGACATAATATTTTTTTAACTTAGTACACTGAAAAAAGATTTGATAAATATTGCGCTGACACGTACAACCAAATGCGTTTGTTAAGTATTACAAGACTTTTTTTCAGAATACTCAGTATCAATATGAATAATATATAATTAAAATTAATTTTCAAAAGTAAATAAAGTTTGATAAGTACCTTTTATTTAACACGTTAACATAAATTTAATTATTGAAGAAACAAAAATAATATATCGCAGAGATTTTCAAAATATTCTAATGTTTCAAACAATCAAATAGAAAAAAATGATTATTTCTAATCACATAAAATTATATATAATTTCATATAAAATATGTATGATTATATATGTGATTTATACATATGAAACTTTTTTCCTATACAGTCACGTATATATAATCATATATAATTATAACGGTGTATTAAAAACAGTATTAAATAGAAAAAAGAAAAAAATAGTTTGTTAAATTAAACATGAAAGTCACAGGCTGCTGTAAACATAAGTATTTACTACAATTATATTTGTATAACAGTATTTTTTCAAGGACATATAATTATATATAATGATATTATGATAAAAGAGAGAGAGACAGAGAGAGAGAGATTTTTTTCTAGAACTATACCATTTATAGATTTATATATACTTAGAATATGTAATACTATGAAATAAATAAATATTATTGAAAAAAAAATAGGTTTATATAACATAGAGTATGTCTAAGGGCCAATTTCTTCACAGAGATAACTCTATCTTTCTGTTAACCTCACTCTTCATCTCTTTCTAACTGCTCCCTTAGAAAGAGATGAAAAGTGAGGTTAACCGAAGGATAGAGTTATCCGACGGTGAAGAAATTGGCCATAAGTTTTACTTACCTTTGCAAGCAATAATTTTGCCGGCATACCGTTTGCCATCTTTGTACTTAATACTGCAACTGCCTCTTAATTTTTATAATCTGATCATGAACAAAGGAAAATTATTATAATTAATTTAAGTAATTATTATAATAAAAAGTAATTTATAAAAAAAATTATAAATTCCAGGTAGCAAGATGACGTTTAAAGATGTCTTAATTATGTGTCTTTAACATTAGAGACGTCATTGAAACGTTATTAATACGTTATTTAACGTCACTCTGCTACTTGCATTACTGATACTACGTTTACGCGAGCGTTACTTCTGTAGTAACTTACGATAATTTCTTCGCGTATATATAAACGGGATTTTCCTTCGCGTAAACGGAATTTTGTAGTAACTTACGATAATTTACTCCGCGTAAACGAGTGAATTATCGTAAGTTACTACAAAAGTAACGCTCGCGTAAACGTAGTATGGGATACATACATTATATAGTTCCATTTTCATTTACTTACCAGTGTAAAACAACTTGGGTTATAATAATATTCGCACGTCACACGACGATTGCAAAATGTAAAAAGCACTGAATTCTCTTTTTCATATAGCGCAGAACATAATCCAAGCACGAGATACTACTAACAATATATATCCTTGAAACCTAACAGTCATGTCAGGGTAAGGTCATGGCTTATCAAGAAATCGGGTAATAGAGATATGCATGATAGGAGGAAAACAAAAGAAAGACAATGGCCGCGTTCTGCATATAGAGATATAAGAATAGAGTGCGCGAGCAAGCTGAAAAAGCGATATAGGAATAGAAAGAGAAAGCTGCGCATGGGCCCCTTCTGCCTTTGTTTCGCATGCGCGCGTAGACAAAGACAGAAAGAGCCTATATGCAGCGTTCTTTTTCTATTCCTATATCGCAGCCTCTTACGTGGTAGCATATGACTCGCGCACTCTATTCTTAAGCTTTGTATACACGATACTAGAAATCGGTCCGAGTTTCGGTTTAAGCCAATTAACTTGCAGCTTTTACAGAAAAGCAGCAGTTTCATTGGCTTAAACCGAAACTCGGACCGATTTCTAGTATCGTGTATACAAAGCTTTATATCTCTATGGTTCTGCACAACTGTTGAGTTCGTCTTATCAACATTGCGTTGATTGGTTGGTTCTAAAAGTAAAAGCCAATCACGTTCGACTGCTATTCAGCGGCTTGGTCTGCTGAATGCGACCATTGTCTTTTCCAGTTATACCTATATGTTCTAAGACAATGCGTCTCATTAATCAAGTCCTTTTGGGTGTAGAGTAATGTAGATGAGCGCACCATTTCTAAGCGCGCAATTAGGAGGTAAAAACGGTGCGCTCATCTACACTAGTTTATAGTGTACAGGAAACGTACCTATGCGCTCGGAGCTTTGGGCAGTAGAAAACAGCAACATAATGTTCTCTTTTCTTCTCGTGCTGTTCGCCAAGCGCAGCTAAACGGTGCGACAATTTAAAATCAGATGTCGAATCAAACACGCATTAACATATGTATACTGTTCGTCATATTAAAATAAATAAAAATATTTGTAACATAAAATAAATTGACGCGGAAAATACAATAGAAAATAGATAAATAAACAAGAACAAGAAAAATTTTTATCCAGAAATAACGTAACAATTACTTTTATTATAGTGTACCGTTCAGCTTTAAAATTAAAAAAAAAAAATTATAATAAAATCAGTCCTTGCATGTAACGATACGTCATAGAGTAAAAGTTTTGAATTGGATGTAATCTTTCGGTACTTTGCGGGTCAACATTTTCACGTGTTAATCTCTAAATAATGCACCGAGTAAAATATTGCAAGTAACCAAACGTATAGATAAAATTAATTGAGAAATAGTTAAATTAGGCGGTCCTACTATTTACCATTGCACCGATATAATCAGTTCTCGCATGTAATGATACATCTTAAAGTAAAAGTTTTGATTTATCTGTAGTCTTTCAATATTTCGCGGACAAATATTTTTACATGTTAATCTTTAAATAATGAACCAAATAAAATATTGCCAGTAATAGATAATACAGATGAAATCAATCGACAAATAGTTTTACTGGGCGGTCCTACTATTTACATACAAATTGCAATGAGGAAATCAGTTCTCAAATGTAATGATACACTGAGAAACAAATTTTCTGCACTTTAATAAATATTAATTTCCACACAACTGTTACTCTATTTATTAACCCTCCGTAGTCACACCTATTTTTTCAAACAAGGAAGTCACTCTGGATCATTTTGACCCGAGATAAACTTTGATCGTTCGCCATTTGATCATTTATCCACCGATCGTGTTGAAAAAATTCTCAAATGCACTTGCGATATTGCTAAATTGATTGCTATAAAAAAAAGAAGTGCCTGAGAAATTTTTAACATATTTAAAAAATTCGCAAAAAATTTGTTTTTTTTTTGTAAATTTTTCGAAAAAATTCACTACAGCTAGAGGGCCTCATGCCCGTCAATTTTCAAGTTACGCGCAAGATATTTACGAGCAAAGTTGAGGCTCGGGTCAAATTGACCCAGTGGACTACGGAGGGTTAAAATAAAGAAAAATTTTTCTTTTTATTTTAGTATACTTTTTTCTCAGTAAATACATGTGTACTAATGTAAAAAAGGAAAATTTTCTATATTTTAGTAAATGGGGTCACAGTTGTATGCAAACCAATATTTACTGAAATGCAGAATATTTCTTTTCTCACAATCAGTGTATGTCGTACAGTAAAGGTTTGATTTGGCTGTAATCTGTCGGTATTTCGTGGGCCAACATTTTCGTGTGTTAATCCTTAAATAATGCACGAATGCACTGAGTAGAATATTGAAAGTTCTCAAATAATAACCGAATGTATAGATGAAATTAATTACAAAATAGTTAAACTGGGCGGTCCTGTTATTTATCATTGCACCGAAGAAATCGGTCCTCGCATGTAACAATATGTCCTAGAGTAAAAGTTTTGATTTGACTGATCTGTTCGAATTTCGTGGGCCAACATTTTCGTGTGTTAATCCTTAAATAATGCACCAAGTAAAATATCGCAAGTTCTCAATCAACTGAACGTACAGATGAAATTAATTGAGAAATAGTTAAACTGAGTGGTCCTGCTATTTACCATTGCACCGAGGAAATTCCTCGCATGTAACAATACGTCCTAGAGTAAAAGTTTTGATTTGGCTGTAGTCTGTCCGTATTTCGTGGGCCAACATTTTCGTGTGTTAATGCTTAAATAATGCACCAAGTAAAATATCGCAAGTTTTCAAGCAACTGAATGTACAGATGAAATTAATTAAGAAATGGTTAAACTGGGCGGTCCTGCTATTTACCATTGCACCGAAGAAATCGATCCTCGCATGTAACAATACGTCCTAGAGTAAAAGTTTTGATTTGGCTGTAGTTTGTCCGTATTTCGTGGGCCAACATTTTCGTGCGTTAATCCTTAAATAATGCACCAAGTAAAATATCGCAAGTTTTCAAGCAATTGAACGTACAAATGAAATTAATTAAGAAATATTTAAACTGAGCGGTCCTGCTATTTACTATTGCACCGAGGAAATCGGTCCTCGCATGTAACAATACGTTCTAGAGTAAAAATTTTGATTTGGCTGTAGTTTCCCCGTATTTCGTGGACCAACATTTTCGTGTGTTAATTCTTAAATAATGCACTGAGTAAAATACCGCAAGTTCTCAAGCAACTGAACGTACAAATGAAATTAATTGAGAAATAGTTCAACTGGGCGGGACTGCTATTTACCATTGTACTGATTTCGCAGTTTATTATTTTCGCTTTTTAATCCCTAAATTATTCGTTGTGTAAAATATAGCAGATGCTAAATATATATAAGTATATAACAGCTTGATTGGACTCTCTAAACATTTTGGATTTTATATTTAAGAAAGAATACGCTCGAAGAATGATGATACAACTTAATTCAGTAAAATTGTTCAGATAAGGAGGTCCCGGTTTTTTACATTGCATCTCCGAAATGGTCCCGACATTATACAAACCATAAATATATATATATATATATATATATATAGAATATTCTAACATATATGTA